ATATCATTCTGAAAGCTAGGAATCTCGGCTATTCAACGATATTAACAGTTTGGAAAAGAACAGAGCCCTTTTTGAGCCGAAAAGAACAGAATAGAATAGTTTTCAAAAACGTGGTATACAGACAACACTAGTTCCGAATAATAACTCTTGAAGAAAGTGAGAATTCAATGAGGAAATGCAGAAATTTGCCTTGATATGAGCATATCACTGGAAAGGTTCCATCCATTTCAATGTGAAGCATAAGTACGAGTCACTGATCAAGATTAACGATATCTGCCTCGTCAGGATACTGTATTGAGCAATTAGAGATATGATCGGAGGTGCAGTTTTCTATCCAGAGCACACCTTTTCCTGTCGAAGCAATTCAAAAAACGATCAGCTGTCGGAAGTTCCCAGGGAAAACTCGTCGAATACAAACGAGTACGTTCGGAATTGTGTGACCAATAGGAAAGGAATTTCGATGTTCGACGAAATCAAAAACAACTTCTCACGTCATTGAACATAATGTATTAATTTGGAAAGGAGGAAATGATTAATTGCTTTGAAGACAAGGTTTTGTTTTTGCACTGTTGATGGTATATAGTGTTTACTGGTTCGACACCATATCGATGCACTCACTGGTTCAAATGTTATGAAAGTGTTGCGCTTTGAAGTCATGAAAGTGTTTGAAGTAAGGCGATTGCGAAGAAACTGGTATTTATGAACGAATGAAGTCAACAAATTCACTGAATTTCATCTCATCATTCGCCGCAAAACCTTTCCACTCATTGCTGAAAACTTGAAATGATACGGCGCAACAGTGTTGTCCTTTTCGTGGTTTTCATTTGTTATTTTATCACTTTNGTGAAGAATTGTATAGCTGCAGTCAGAACGCTTTTGCGGAAAATGAATAGTTCAATAGAGCTCACGAAGTTCTGAATTAACCGATTTGTAGAAATGTGAAGTGGTTAAATGAATAATTGATCAATTGTGAACAAATTGTATGCATTCGAGACTAGGCGTTCTCGTTTCAGAGTGCCCGTGTTCAGAAACACGAACAGACAGGTTCGGAATCGGCAACGATTCCAGACGAAAGCAATTGCTGCTTTTCTGGTTTTCAAATATAGTGGAGGAGGTGGGGGTGGTTGGCCGCCTGTGGGACCGTTTGGGCCGGTCGGCGCGGGTTATGGGCCAGGGCCAGGGCAAGTTGGAGCTTGGGCACCTGGTGGCGGCACTGGAGCGTTTGTTGAGGGCTTGAATGATTACGAGAATTTACAATATACCGGACCGATTACAATCGGAACTCCGCCACAGTCGTTTACAGTAGGTTCTTGTGTGGGTGGATTGATTTTGGGTCAGATTCGTTCGCTTTCGCTGTTTGCATCGAAATCATTTTGAAGTGTGTTCGCCGAATAAGTGAACTTTGAATTTGTGTGTTGATCCAAAGAGAAAATTTATAAATTGCTACAAAACAATAACGAAGCTTTTAGCATTGATGAGAATTGCGATGTTCTTCGATTCGATACCGTCATCAACGTCACAGTTTTTGCTAGTCCATAACCATTTGAATGATTTTACCATTTCGTCTGTTATTTCCTTGTCACTGGAGAGAAACTGAAATGAACGAAAGCAAACTGTCAATATTGACGGAACATTTTAACTGATAGTGAACATCAAGGTGCTCTTCGATACTGGCTCATCGAATTTATGGGTTCCATGTGAAGGATGTAGATCGGCTGCATGTACAAATCATAATCGATTCCGTTGTGATCAGTCTGCCACTTGCATTGCCACTAGAGATCCATTCCATATCAAATACGGCACCGGATCGATGTCTGGTCATGTGGATCTGGATACTGTTTGCGTACGTGACATTCATTGATAACAGACTTTTTCTCTTCACTGGACTAATCGTTCGTGAAAATAATATACGAAATCGAATCTGCCAANTCAGCGATAATTCCAGTTTAGCGGTGCTGGACTATGTACAGATCGAAATCAAGGATTTGCGTGTGCTAGACACGAACCGAAGAGTGTATTCAATGTAAGATCATCTTCGATTATATCTTCAGATCACTGTTTTCTGATTCTTACTTGAAAGTTACATTTCTCAATGCTTTCATGTCTTTGTCGACTATGTAAAGGAACAACATCCATATGATGAGATTGAATTTGATTTGACATTTCACTGAATAGACATACATGAGTAAGCGAGTATGGTCTTTGATAGATGGTCATCAAGCAAATCAGCTGCAATGAAACCATGAATCAACCCGGAAACGAATACACAATATGAGGCGATTTTGTGAACTGTTCATTGAAATTTAGACTCGTAAAGATGAACAAATTTATATGACCTCTCTTCAAAATCTAATAGTTTCATGTGCAAAGCTCTAAGGGAATGCTATTCATACAAGCTATCGTATCAGTGCTTATGTGTGGATAAATCAAAGTTCACATTTCAGTCAGCCATTTTCGATGGTATTTTGGGAATGGCATGGGATTCGATCTCGGTGGACGCTATTCCACAGCCACTCGATCAAATTATGGCGAGTCCGTTCTGTGAGCTGCCAGTATTTGCGTTTTGGTTGAGTCGTGATTTGAACTCTCAGCAGGGTGGTGAAATCACGATTTGCTCGATAGATCCAAGCAGATTTCAAGTCAGTAATTTGAGTCACATTCTGTTTNCAAAGCTATTGGCTAATCCAGTTGGATGCAGTAACTGTGAACGGTGTGGTCGTGTCGAATTCGATCGGTGCTGCAGTTGATACGGGAACTTCGTTGATTATTGGACCAACGAATGCCATTAATCAGGTTTTTCAGAC